TTTTAATCTAAATTATTTAGAAAATCAGCTGTTCGAAGACTGACTTTAGATCTTTTCTTTTAATCTAAATTATTTAGAAAATCAGCTGCTCTGCGGTCCTTAGGTAAGAAAAAGCAAATTGGATTAAGGAATCTGATTATAAGCACATGGTTGTTGTGCCAAATACAGTCTAAGTCTGTTACGCAATCATATGAAAGGCACATTAGGTTTGGTATGGTTCAATGTAAGATTATAAGTTGTTCATCTTCTGCTGGATTTATAATTTGTCTGACAGCTACATAACTGCTATAGATGGTCTTATAGTTAACTTTGGGTAATATAAATAATGTTTATAAATAATATAAATACTGTTAGCACATACTAAATGTCACTTGAGATGGCAAAAATTCTGCTATCTGTATTTACTTAGGACTTGTTTCTGGACAGTGTTACAAAATCTCTCTCATGCTGTGGTTGTCTTTGGTCTTGATTTTTAGGAGTTCAAAAAAATGTATGTCTCTAGAAGGGCTACCTGGCACCTTAGGTGGTGAAGCCACAACCAGCTGTCCTAGGATAAATGTATCTTCATTCATTTGTCTTTTCCAGTGAAGTAAATTATCCCAAATGCTAAAGTCCTATTCACTCACACTGGAAATAAGGCTGTTTAATGACACAAGTGATTTGTTACCTTGGGTCAGTAATTGTTTAATTAAAAATGAGTAAAAATGTAATTTTCAGTAAAGTATTGCAATATTTAAAAGAATGTGTAGTTCCCACATTAAAATTTGAAAGGCAAAGTAAATTTCTGTTAACAGAAGACTCTAAGTTTTCCATCAATACCTCAGTTCCACTTAACTGAGTTTTAAGAATTAGAAAATTGAGATAGAAAAATGAAATTTTCTTGAATATTTCTTTTAAATTCCTCTTGCAAATGTTATCTTTGGAGAGAGAAGCAACAGTGCAGATGTGTCTGAAATGGTCGACTCTGCAAATGTTCACAGTGTCTGAGGTATGTGGTAAATGAGGCAAGACTCTTTATCCTCCTCATTGTACTACTTTGATGTAAATTACTTTCCGGAATATCCTTGTTTGGCATACGCAGAGCAGTACGCAACAGATGCTTCATATGTTTAACTAGA